ATTGAGGCCACATCCGTAAATGTGTGGCCGAGAAAAACAAACAACGCCCCGATGACGCGGTGGAAGAGGGAGGCGAAAGAGCAAGGGGAGGGGGTCGGTGCACTTTGCCATCCGGTATGGAGACGCTTTCGGTGTGTCCGCGTCCGCCCTGTCCGCCTGTGTCCGCCCGGACAGATGTCCGCCACACCGGACTTTTTTGTCGTCGTCAAGGCTGACATATGTCCGTACGGACACAGGCGGACAGGGCGGACGCGGACACACCGAGAGCGTCCAGTGTGGGGACACCTTTTGACAGATTTTGCAAGACTCCGCAAAAAATATAGGTTGCTCCAAGAGGGAGTCTGATGAGCTCTGTAGCCTCACAAATGTAAATACGGTGCTATAGAATGCAATAGGGTATTTCACCCAGTTTAAACCGGATCCAAAGAAGAACTGTAACTTTAAAGTAATTTTTTACTACCACCAAGAACTGAACTGTTTCCTCCTTGTCGCTCATTGGCTGACGCGGACGAAGTTCGTGAACCCGCCACCAGGTCTGCGACTACCCTACAGTCGCCCCGCCAAAATAAGTACCAACTTGAACATTTGCGCGTTAAGAAAATAGTCCCTACCATCGTGATGAACTAACTGCTAGTCTAACCATCGCACGGCTGAAAACTAAATACTAAATAATGGACCAGACTTTATCGTTTAGCACTGGATGATTTCTGTTACAAGACAGTTACGTTTAGACACTTTTATAAGAACTTTTGCGTACAGCTATTGCTCCGCCAGGTTACTCCTAATAGCGAGGCGACTGTAGTGACGGGCCCGAGAACTTCGCGCGCGTGTTCTTCTTTAAATCCGGTTGAAACTGGGTGAAATACCCTATCGGGCGAGTCCGAGCACCCACTTATTCCAGTTTGCTGAGACTCCCTGAGCCTGCACCATGGTTGAAGTTTGACGATCGCTGCGCGCTTCCGCGCTGAGCCGCCGAAACGTCAGTGCGTGTGGTGCGTGTCAGCTGTGTCTGGTGGTGGTCGGGTCCAACCTCGTCGTTCATCGGCTCACTACTGATAAGGTTAGTTTTCCAGCGTCTGCCGACCATTCACCTCCACCAATTAACTGTATTCGCACCACTCACGAGGTTATATGTCACGTTATATACTGTAGGTCAAGTTAAGTTAGGGTAAGTAAGGTTAGGTTAGGTTGGTACCGAAAACCTATATGTCAACACTATGACGTGGGTTTTACCGTTACTGTTACTTTGTATAGATCGAATCGGTGTAAACGGGTGTAAAACATTTCCAGCCGGAATGTGAGACAGATTTCCGAGATTTCTTACACGGAAATTCGTGTTTAGGCAAAACAGTTCGGTTCAGATCTCGAGGAACCACAGCACGTCGTTCTTCGATCTTTCAGGTAATCTAAAGAACACAGATTCGAAACGAACCGATGATCAGTAAATCTATCCCGGTTACCGTTTTGATATCGTTTTGCATTCCACCGGGGATGTATAATACGGCCGAGGGGTCAACTGTTAAGGTAATGATACCTCCCCCCCCCCCTCACCCCCACGGTCCACCGCGCCCCGCCCCGCTGCACGATATTTCGAGGAGCTGGTTACGTTTCGGCCCCTTCTCCTCCTCCTCCTCAGAGGACGAAGGGTAGAAGAGAGGCTCGCCTCGCGTCCTCCTCGGTGAATTATGTAACTCCGATCCCCCTCCCCCCTCTCGCCTCGCCGGCCCCGCCGGCCTGCTCCTGCTGCGGCCCCGCCGGCCTGGAGGAAGGCGGGGCGGGGCGAGGCGGGGCGGGGTGCCGGCTCGCCCCAGGCCGGGGGCAGAAACGGGGCGGACAGGGGGAAATTGATCCATATATCTTACAAGGGTACACGCAAAAAGGAACCGGCGAGTTATGTGTTCCGGGGAGGCCGTCGCGGGTGCGGGGG